GTAAGGCACTGGAACAGGTTGCCCAGAGAGGTTGTTGAGGCCTCATCCCTGGAGGTGTTCAAGGCCAGGCTGGACGTGGCCTTGGGCAACCTGGTCTAGTGGGAGGTGTCCCTGCCCATGGCAGGGAGGTTGGAACTTGATGATCTTCAAGGTCCTTTCCAACCTAAACCATTCTATGATTCTATGGTATGCTGTCGCACTTGTTATAAAGTCTTAGCAAATAGGCATTAGATAGTTAATGGTCACTCTCGTTTTTCATTATAACTTGGTTATAATTGCACTTCATCCCATTTAACCCAAAGTCTGTGTTGTTATAAAAAGGTATGTTGTGTGTCAGCATAAAGACATACATTTATTTTTGTTACCTTTCTGTGACTTACAGGTGGTATTTACAAGTGGTGTTAAATTGTAATTACTTTCATTTCTTGAGGAGTTGTCTGAATCCTCAGTATTGAATTTGGCATGCGTAGTGCAAAACCAACTTGCTGTTCATGGTTTCGTTGCCAGGTGTTCAGGTGTTGACAACTTTGCATTTTATTTTGCTATGTGTATTTTGGTTGGGTTTTTTTTGTTTGATATATTGCTGTAGTAATTTTTGTATTAATTTCTCTTACTTGTGGCAGACAATGTTTTAAAAAACTAGTTAATAGCATTGACAAATGATGCTAGTAATTCGTAGCAGACATTGTGGACATCATTCCAGTTTTACAAAAAGCATTAAAGATCCTAAACTGATAGTGTGTGTATGTGACATTCAAGGAAAAATAACTTTGTAGATCGAAATCATCCAGCTTGCTTTTAGGTAAAAGTGCCTTTTCCTTTCCTGTCTTTTCCTTTCTTGAATAAGAACAGCTGTTCTTTTTCATTAATTGATACATGAGTGTCTTTGCCAGTTTCTTAGGGCATAATTTTCTAAGTGAAAATAAGCCTGTGTTTGACTCTTTCTCTGCAAGGGAGTAACAGAATGTAACCGTAACATATTCTCCAGTCCCACACTAAAACCTGTAATTCGTTTTGTAACTGTTTCATCGCCTATTCTTGTCATGGAAATAATGATTTGCAGGGGAACTTCATCTGTGTTGTTTAAGCTACTTTCTTAAAAGTTTGATTTTAATGTCTGTCATGGAAGGAGAGAAGTTCATTGCAGTTTCCAGATGGCCATCAAGCAGCTTCTGTCTTGAAAATAGTAAAAATGCCTTCAGCAACAAACTTCTGTTTCAGAAGTCTTTTGTACCAATGTGGCATACCTGTTAAAAAAATGATTCACATTTCTTTATCCTTTCCAGTACGTTCTGCCAAATCACGGCTGCTTATACTGCTTAGCAGCTGATATTTTAGCATTTTCAGATGGGTGTCAGGAAAAGGATGTATCTTTTTGACAAACACTTTCCTCATGACTGGTTATGCAAATGGCATTTTTTCTGGCAGTCATGAATACTGCTTTTGCGTGCTCCGTTCTGTACTCCCAGTGTGACTTTTGGTGTTGTAACCTTGCATTTTCAGAAGTGAAGGAAAGGACGTTGCATTCGGCAGTAACATTACAAGATAAGTTGAATCTTGGTCAAGTCCAGCTCATCATCATCTGTTAACGGCATTCCCATCTCAGATGGTGGGACTGTAGCACAAAAGGGAGCTGGTGATAGAAAATCAAGGGTAGAAGGACAAATAAGGAAGATGTTAGAAAAAAGAGAGCTACCCAAAAGTTGTGGAAACAGTAGCTTATAGGTGCGAAGTGGCCTTCACCTTCAAATATGCTGTGGATCTCGCAGATTCTGCAGTGCTTGACTCAAGCTCAAAAGCTTAAGGGGAGAGAATGGTCAGAAGGGGTTTGCAACTGAGGGAAGGATCAAAGACATCACTGGGAGAGCGTTCTGGGGTGACTCTTCCTAGCAAAACATGTCTGACTTGCACTGCTGCTGAATTGTAATTTTTAGTACGGTTAAGGCAGAAGTTCTGTACTGCACGTTAGTTAAAAACAGGCAATCGAATCATAGCAGTGCAGGTAAGCACTGGCACAGCAACTTAATACACAGGTATAGATGAAGTAGCTTGTGCTCTGAAGCAAATTAGAGGGTAGGATTTGTGATGCTAATTCTAGATCAAGCACTTTGGAGTTAATTTAGTGCAGCAGTTTTGTGTGTGACAATAAAGATACCTACCAAGCCTTTTACAAAAGTTTTACAGGCTGCCAGTGCAGTGGCCATTTCAAACTGGAAATAAATCATTATAGCATC